GATTAAACTCTCTCGAAATGATTCAAATGTCAAATAAATTCAAAATAAATTAAATTTTATGATTTGAAAATTTTTTTATTCGAATGTGGGAAAAATTTAAAAATTTAAAGAAAAATGAGTTGCTGCTTTAAAGGCTGCGAAAATTCCGTTGTCCTCTGCNAAATTTTTTTATTCAAATGTGGGAAAAATTTAAAAATTTAGAGAAGAAAAATGAGTTGCTGCTTTAAAGGCTGCGAAAATTCCGTTGTCCTCTGCAAGCAAAGCAATATCAAGTTTTTGTAGTTCCCGCAATTACCGTATGAAGGAAAAAATGGATCGCGAGGTTTGTGGTGTTATGAAAAGGGACTTGCCAAATTGCCCCTATGTGTTTTCATTGTCGGTCAGAACATTAGCTCTGATCCAGTACTCCATGAACTTACAGGATTTTACACGAAGTTGCAGGAAAAATGTTCCAGTACTCCAAAATCCTGTAAATGAGAGCGACTTTTGGAGAGTTGTGTAGAGAATGAAGTTGCAAGATTTTACCCGAACTTTTTCTTCTGGTAAAATCATGAAAAGTGTCAAGCAATCACTGGTTGACGTTTTTACTGGAAAAATGGTTTTTTGTTCCCGTACTTTTTGTTGTTACTCACTTTTTACTCTCACTTCAGAGAGTAATTTTGCTGTTTAACAGTTTTATAGGATTTTTCACGAACAGTATTAGATCAGAGCTTATATAAGGTGCTGTTACTAGCTCAGCTGATTTTGTGTATGTGTTTCGCCGCGCGGCTTCTGATATCAAATTGAAAAATTTTGTTTGAATTTCTACACACACTCTTACACATTTTGACAGTTTATGCCGCCAAAGCGAAAACAAAATACATGTAAATTTTTGTTTTTGTACTCCTGCTATCACCTTATATAAATTCGCCTTGGGTCTAACCGTATTTTAATATCGTCTACAGTGGCGAGTAATACTGACTTTATTTAACTGTCGCTTTGCATAAAATAAAACGAATAAATAAAAAGAATGTGAACGGTGATTATAATTTTTATTAGTTATATTGAAATTTTACACTAAACTATATTCAAAAGTAAACAAGTTGTACGAATTGCGGTGGACCATAACAGATTTTCACGGAAATATGCATTTTTCAATAAAAAAAATAAACGAAATGAATTCTTACATTAAACGTTAACGTTAATGACTAAAGAAGAAAGACCAGAGGCTCAATTTTTATTCTCACTTTATAAGGTTCAAGAACATATTAATGCAAGTAAAGAAGTCATTTACATCTAAACCAAAGTAATTAAGAGTGCCCGGTAGGTGGAACTATCGTGCAGACAAGTATACAAAGAACTTAGAATTTAACGATATTGTCCAAAAGCTAATTCAGTTTACATGAACTAATAATCTACTCCGACTTAGAAGTAATCGACTTTAATATTTGCCAGTAATAAGTTTTGTAGATCACCTTAGTGCAGTTATCTTAAATTTACAACTCAAAACTGCTTTCATTCTAATCCTGTTTTCCCCTAAAATAAACAATAACTATTTTTTTTATTTTAATACAACGCATATTCAATGTCATTTTGCCATGATTATTTCATTATTTTCGCTCGTATTCACTTTGGCCAAGTCATCGACCAGCGTGTCGAGCAGCGCCCGCAGCTCTTGTTGCGCGAATTCTTGTGGCAATGGCAGACGTTCCAGTGCAATTTTTATGATCAAACACGGATTCAACACTGGACAGACGAGCAAAACACCGCGCACTAGGCAAGCCAAATTTTGCGCGATTTCACTTTGACACAGGCGATGTTTAGCCGTGGGGCAGGGCAACAAATTAATGCGGGAACATAAGTCAGCCAATTGTGGCTTCAAATTCTCCCAGCGTGCTTCTATATCCGCCTCGGTCTTGAGTGTCTTTAAGCTCTTGAACTAGAGGTGTAAAAATAGAGTAAATAGAATTACTAGTAGGTACAACTTTTGCATATTTAAACATATTTTGTATATTTGAGTATTGTGAATTACTTTTTCGTTGATATCGATAAAGTCTAAGAATATTTGTCCTTGATTAGACCAATTCGGTACTTTTATGGTTTTGTTGGCCTCGGCACCCTCGAACTGACTCAGCAATTTGTGCAAATAGTCGAGATTATCTGCGTGAAGAAGAGAATAGGTTCAATAGATTTTCTGTGGCCTGTCGTGGCGGTATTTACGCTCGCACTTACCATTAATGATTGCATCGGGTGCAATGTGCTGGAATATAACTTCATGTGCCAATGCCCACTGCTTTGCCTTTAACAGGTATTTCGCTTGCAAATGATGATTGCCAATGGCGCCCGCCTTCACTGCCTTCGCATAATCAATCCATTTCTCCGGTACTCCCAAATTATTTATTACAAACTTTTCCTTCTCCGACAATGAAACATCTTTTGAAACACTAACATAACGATAGAGCATATTTTGCACTGATAACTCTCTTTGATTACGGTCTTTTATATGCAAAAGAACGAATGTAGCCCATTCCCATAGATCGTAATTTTCTAACTGACTTGCAAAGCCCACATGCAATTGGCTTTCACTTAAAATTGAGCAGTGTCGGTATCCAATTG